AACTAATCTTTTGCCGTGAACTAATCTTTCGCCGTGAACTCTTGAATCAATAAAAAGAGTCGGTCTTCCCATCACTAGTTCACAGCGAAAGATTAGTTCACAGCGAAAGATTAGTTCACAGCGAAAGATTAGTTCACAGCGAAAGATTAGTTCACAGCGAAAGATTAGTTCACAGCGAAAGATTAGTTCACAGCGAAAGATTAGTTCACAGCGAAAGATTAGTTCACAGCGAAAGATTAGTTCACAGCGAAAGATTAGTTCACAGCGAAAGATTAGTTCACAGCGAAAGATTAGTTCACAGAGAATGATTCGTTCACAGAGAGTGATTCGTTTGCAATGAAAGATTATTTCACAGCGAAAGATTAGTTCGCAGCGAAAGATTAGTTTGTAATGAAACATTAGTTCACAGTGAAAGTTCGTTTAGTTTAGTTCGTAGTGAAAAAATCGACAGCCATGCATCTGAGTCGTCCTGCATCGCACCATATATCGACAATACAAAATCACAACTGAGAGTCTCCGGGTGTTTGGAGGCGCGACTCGACGTTGCACGGATTCCGAACCATACTGTAACAATTGTTGTTGAGCATCTTCTAATTGTGATAACAGAGTTAAACGTCATTGTTGGCTCCCCGTGTGCTTCAGTTGTGTGCCATTATGTGTGATGCGCTGTGTGGTTTGGCTTTACAAAATCGGTTCGAGCTCAATAAGTGCAACCAGAAGTAATACATAAGGCGCACTGGGTTATAAGGCGCACTGTCGATTTTTTAGAAAATTACAGGTTTTTAAGTGCACCTTATAGTGCGGGAAATACGGTAATTAGCCTGCAGTCAAAATAAAGGTCTGGTATATATACCGGGTCATAGTGTAATAAAAGATCCTCATTGATTTATAATCACAAAATATATCACATTTTAACTCCACACAAAAACTTATAGAAAGAAACAATGAATTTCCTATTTTAATTTTGAAACTGGACAAAAACTGTTTTCAAAATTAAGGTACATTGTCAGATAATAGATACTTTATTTTTGAAAGACAATATTCCTTGATTTAAAGAAAAATATGTTTTACTAGGTCATTTTAACAATTTTAAACAATTTTAACATTTTAAAATAAAACTATTCTTTGTGTGTGTGTGTGTGTGTGTACACATTTTTTTAATCAAGAAGCATGTGAAGATTATGCTATGAATGTATTTGAATATCCCTTTATCATGAGATGAGTCCTCTGTTTTGACATTATTTTCACTGTCATTGGTTGATCTTCTACAGTGATAACAAAGCCAGGGGCTCAATTATGAGAATTCCCTTTCTGTTGAGCTACACATTTTCAACTACAGTGTGGCAAAATGTACAGCTAGTTGCTACAACAAGCAACAAGTCCCATTTTGATACAGAAGAAAATAACTGTAAAACCTATTATGTGCATTTCCACCTTGACGCTTATTTAAACTCTGCTTTAATATTAATAAAGTTTTTTTTTTTTAATTATTACTGACAAGTGGAGATTTGTGAACAACAGTATGGTTTCATGCCTAGGAAGAGTACCACAGATGCAATGTTTGCCTTGAGGATACTGATGGAGAAGTACAGAGTAGGTCAGAAGGAGCTGCATTGTGTATTTGTAGATTTAGAAAAGGCATATGACAGAGTGCCAAGGGATGAATTGTGGTTTTGTATGAGGAAGTCAGGAGTGGCAGAGAAGTATGTTAGTTTGGTGCAGGACATGTATGAGAATAGTACAACAGTGGTGAGGTGTGCTGTTGGAAGGACAGAAGACTTCAAGGTGGAGGTGGGACTACATCAAGGATCGGCCCTAAGCCCCTTCTTGTTTGCTTTGGTGATGGACAGATTGACAGATGAGGTCAGACAGGAGTCCCCATGGACTATGTTGTTTGCAGATGACATTGTGATCTGTAGTGAGAGTAGGCAGCAGCTAGAAGAGAACCTAGAGAGGTGGAGGTTTGCACTAGAAGGATAGGAATGAAGGTCAGATGTAGCAAGACAGAGTACATGTGTGTAAACGAAAGGGAGAACAGTAAAATGGTGAGGCTACAAGGAACAGAGTTGGTGAAGGTGCAGGAGTTTAGGTACTTAGGATCAACTGTTCAGAGCAGTGGAGACTGTGGAAGAGAGGTGAAGAATAGAGTGCAGGCAGGATGGAACAGCTGGAGAAAAGTGTCAGGAGTGATTTGTGATAGAAGAGTGTCAGCTAAGGTGAGGGAAAGGTTTACAGGACGGTGGTGAGACCAGCCATGATGTATGGTTTAGAGACAGTAGCAATAGGCAGAATACATGAGGTGGAGCTGGAGGTGGCAGAGTTAAAGATGCTAAGATTCTCTTTAGGAGTGACAAGGATGGACAGGATCAGGAATGAGGTCATTAGAAGGACAACACAGACAGGAAGGTTTGGAGAAAAGGCTAGAGAAGCCAGATTGAGATGGTTTGGACATGTGCAGAGGAGGGACAGAGAGGGATTGGTAGAAGAATGTTAGAGATGGAACTACCTGGTAGGAGAAAAAGAGGAAGGCCAAAGAGGAGATATATGGATGCAGTGAGGGAGGACATGCAGATAGTTGGAGTCAGAGTAGAAGATCCAGAGAACAGAGAGAGATGGAAAACAATGATTCGCTGTGGCAACCGCTGAAAAAAAAGGGACAAGCCGAAAGAAGAAGAAAACTGACAATACAAACTCACGTTAATACAGACCCAGTCTTTTGGAAACAATGGAAGGAATATAGGAAGTCTAGTGTGACAGAATGTATCCAGCCCGTGAAAAGTTCTACACCCCCATTATATAGTTGGGGAACTTTTCTTTATATCTGTGTCAGGAAACTTTCTCTGTTAGATAGGACTGTAAAATATGCTGTTCGTTCATACCCCAGTTTCCTAACACAAAGAATCAAATAAAATTCAAATAAAGAATCAAATACGAGATCTCAAAAGGTTTTACTTGCAGCAAGGAGTGCAGAACAATGGTTACATTCAGAACTGCACTGAGGAACACCTCAGTGCTCAAAGCTTAAATACAATTTTTTTACACACACACTTCAATGGTCAGTACCTTGGTATTCCACAGCCATTCGGTGTTCACACGCCACTTCTGAGCACTGATTGGTAAAGACTGCTTCAAACAAGGATTCTCCACCAATAGGAGCTATGTGCATGTGCTGCAGTTAATCAAGTCAGATAAGACCATGCAGTTCGGATGTTTTTCTCTCTTTGTCTTTTGTTGGTCTTCCATCGATCTCCTTATTTGGGCAAATAAACTAGTTCTGGCCAGTTCTGTGTCCTGTCTCTATTTCCAAGTGTAACAGTCAGTACCATTCAGTGCTGTCCATATCATCCTGTTACGTAAACCATCAGCATGCACACCTGTCATCAGCACTTTCCCTTTTAATACAGCATAATAACAGCATTCAATAACAGTATAAATTGATATGGAAACTTAATACAATGTATATATTGTAAAGATTGAATAAATGTATTTACAACATCTTAACAATCTGTCCTGAAGAATCTCAAAGTCTTTCCGTGATCGTCCTTTTGTTCAAGGTTCAAGGTTTTATGAGAATGAGCTGAAAAAGAAGCAGCAGGTGAACTAGCACATTGAAAAAAATGATGCTACAGAAGGCACAAATCACAGAGCAACACTTACACAAGTCCACACATCCCTACCAGTGTGACTTTATTATTTAAAAAAATACATCAGGATTAGTTTCTGTGTCAGTGCTCTAGTAGTGTATCATTATTTTATGTAATATACTGTATATTTATATGTTCTGTATGTATATTATCTTAAGGTAAAGAGCAGACTGAGGTTCCCTAGGTATCTGTGCCTGAGGAGAATGACCTTTCTCCAGTCATGTTTGATGACAGTCGCAGCTCCTGTCCCAGCTTTCCCAGCTCCAATGGGATTACTACTGATGATGCTGCTGCTGCTTCTGAGGTGTTCGGAACATCTATTGAGGAAGCTGTGAGAGAAATGCGCTTTCGCATTGAGCAGGAGACCATGTTGACAGCCATTGCAGGTAAGAACAAAACTCTGGAGTGACCTACAAGACTTGTCTCTAAGTATCTGAATCAAAAAATCCTGCCTCCCAATTTCTCACTCCTATGGTGGGCTTTACTGTGACCTGGCATCATTTGAGTTGCATTTCTAACACCTTAAAAATGCTTGTGCAGAAAACAGATGAACACACCACCAAACACTGCATTACTTAATTCTTTAGGACATTTCTGAATGCTCTTTCATTTACTACAAGCCGATTTGCTATACATCAACTATAATGTACATTTGATGAGCAATTCTTAGGAGAACGTATTCATTCTGGAATTGCTCCCAACATGATGCTTGCCAAGGTGTGCAGTGACAAGAACAAACCCAATGGCCAATACAGATTCGCCTCCACCAGAGATAGACTTCATCCATAATGTTCATTCAGGCTTGAGCATAATCAGAACCATGGTAAAAATATGTTTAAGAGTCAACGTGCATAATCCTTATTGGTAGTGATTTATGTGTGTGTGCGTGCGTTTCTGTAGGCAGTGGTGGGTAGTAACGAGTTATATTTGCTCCTTACATTTACTTGAGTACGTTTTTCAAAATAAAATACTTCTAGGAGTAGTTTTAAATCACTATCCTTTTTACTTTTACTTGAGTAGATTTATGAAGCCTACATTAAGCTATACTGATTCGTTAGTTTTATCAGAGATACTGGATAAAGCTTTAGTTATTCAGTATCCAGTTCTCTATTCATCCATGAACCAGTATCTCTACTTTTATATTGTCAGAGAGAGACCGCCCAAGGATCTACTGCGTGGCTGTGTTTAACCAATAAAATGTAGCCCTTGCTGTGCATTCTCGTACTGTGACCAGTGTTGGGCACGTTACTTTGAAAAAGTAATTAGTTATAGTTACTAATTACTTCTCCCAAAAAGTAACGAGTTAGTAATTGAGTTACTCCACTATAAAAGTAACTAGTTACCAGGGAAAGTAACTACTGCGTTACTTTTTAGTTTAAACAGCAAGGAACAGCAAAGACAGGTACCTGAACAGACGTGCGGTGAGGTTCATGGCTGGTGAGGCACTGACTCCTCTGGAGTCAGAGTTACAATTGTAAGAACTGAAAAGAGCATCTTATTTCACTATTCATCCAACAGCATGCACCTGGTAATGCTTCATCTAAGCAATTCATACTTACTTTAAATCAAATTAAAGTATAGAGATGAGTGCAGCACAATTAATTTTGACCTTCAGATGCTCCCTTGAGGTGAGACAGAGTATTGCTCTAATACTCTGCCTAATACTATTGCTTTATACGATCAGCAGAAACATACATTAAAGACATTACACAGACTGTAGAGAGTCATGCTGTATAACAAATATTTCTGTAAAGTTCATATTTGGGATATGCTGAGGAACAGAAACGAACACGTGTCATGCGACCCAGTTTGTATTTGATCGCACAGTCAGATGTGCGCGATCCCGGGTGCCGGGTGAGGACTATTAATAATTATTTTGTGTACTTTTTTTCTCAGGTTTGATGAGATCACACATTATTACTTATGCGGTTATCTAGCCCCTCCCCCTTTGCCAAAGGGGAAAAAACACACATTTGCAGCTCCTGTGTCGGTGTGAGCCAAGTCAGATAACAGCTTCAGTGAGTAGCTTTAGTAACGCGCAGTAACAGCGTGTTGATGACGGTAACGGCGTTATAACGATAGATAAAGTAATTAGTTAGATTACCCGTTACTGAAAAAAGTAACACCATTATTCCCGTCACTGAATGTGACCATACTCAATCTCAGCGGCGGGACAGGTTAGTTTAGCGGCTACTGAGGTCAATATCCATCGTGTTTGATAGCAAAAAATGAAGAAAAATGTAGAATCAATGGTAATCGGCAATCCAGACGAAGACGAGGAGGCACACCCCTGGACTCATATTGAAAGCATGTTCAGTTTACAAACACTGCGGAATAGCAGTTACATCATGCGGTGTCTTTTGTATCTCCCAAAACAAACAGATATTTCAGCATTCAAAAACTCAAGGTCTAACCCAAAAAAATAGCTTGGGTTAGACCTTTTGATCTAAAAAGGTCTTTTGATCTAAAATCGGTTTGCTCTTTTTTGTTATTTTGTTAAAATTGACTTTTCTATGTATTATTGCATTGATTTTCATTTTTATGGAAGTACTTGAATTTACCTAAAGATTATTTTATTTTAAGGTATTTAATTTTTTTTAAATTATTTTATTGATGGGATAAACTCCCCATATCTTGTCTAGCTGACTGAATGCTTGAATCAGATGTTACTCAACATTTACTCAGTACTTGAGTAGTTTTTTCACCAAGTCCTTTTTCACTCTTACTCAAGTAATTATTTGGATGACTACGTTTTACTTGTACTTGAGTAATATTATTCTGAAGTAACAGTACTTTTACTTGAGTACAATGTTTGGCTACTCTACCCACCTTTCTTGGCCTTGCCTTTCCTGATGCCTTTCTGGCATTGGGAAGGTGAGTGAGAAGATGCTGAGCGCTCTGGGCGTCAGTAGTTGTTCTGACCTCACACAGCAGATGGCACTGCTGTCCCTGCTCTTTTCAGAAACAGCCTGGCATCATTTGATGCAGGTGTCACTCGGTCTGGGCTCCACATACAGTATATACCAAGGTAAGGTTTAATACAACTCAACAATGATTAGATAACAGGTCAGACAGAGGGATGATGACCCCCCCTTTTTGTTTTGTTTTTACAGACATGAAGAAAGGGAAAGCATGAGCACGGAAAGGTTTATTTCAATACAATTATTTATACAATATTACAATTAAGTTTGATTTTTGTACCCACTGCTCAACAGTGGATATATTGGTAGAAGAATATTAGAGATGGAGCTACCAGGTAGGAGACAAAGAGGAAGGCCAAAGAGGAGATATATGGATGCAGTGAGGGAGGACATGCAGATAGTTGGAGTCAGAGTAGAAGATGCAGAGAACAGGGAGAGATGGAAAACAATGATTCGCTGTGGCAACCCCTGAAAAGGGACAAAGCTTAAAGGAAAAGAAGAAGAAGCTCAACCTAGAACTAACATTCTTTTTATAAAACATGTATTATTGCAGGACATTTAAAGAACTGAACAAGGCAGAGGAACAGTTTTCTCTGTGCAGGCAACTCTGTGAGGATTTAGCAGAAGACCCAAAGAAAGAGAACCTGAAGGTAAATAAATAACAGAGAGACTGTAACTTTGTCATTCAGTCACATACTGTGTGCATACTGGACATTCTGAACAATCAGCTTGGAATTAGAAACTCAAACAATATTTGTTGCGAGTCACTGACCTGGGGTCCGTTTCTTGAAGCAGTCTTAGTGATAAAGCAGTTGCAGTTTTAAGGTCCTTAAGTCTGAGTTAAGCAGTCAGTCCGTAACCACTGGAGATGGGATTTATGGCTCTTTGGAGGGAGCCAATTGTGAGTCTTGCTGCTGCAGTTGATATTCTTTGAAAAGCCTCTTCTGCAGTTCTGCCATCCATAAATGCCATCCTTTTGAATCTTTGGTCAAGCACAGCAGCATCCGCAAGGATGTGGTTGGATTCCATTCTATGGAATCCAGATGACATGCCAGAAGAAAGCGAGTTGACCATGTCTTTTGCTGCCTGTGTTGTTGCCCTCCTCTGGAAATCAGCCGTGGCTCTTTGCAGTCCCCTGGACAGCAGTATTACTTTGTAGGCAATCAGGTAGCTAGTGAGAAAAAAGATAAATGTTATTATAACGATACAATTATAAAGTTGTACCAATAATAATAAATTCTATGATGTATTACACAGTATATTTTATGTATCAAATATTCATAATTTAGTGGCACTTTGGCCCATAGGCAATGTCCCAGGGTTCACCTCCTGGGCAAGATCAAATCCCAGTTAGGGTGGATGGTAACTTCCAGTGGAAGGTTCAGGGAGGTTGGTAAGGTACAGTGTGATTTGGGTGGCGGTCATGGAGACTGCTGCCCTCGCAACCCGGTAACGGATAAGTGGATAAAAATGGATGGATGGATATTCATAATTTAGTATCAGCTAATTTGCATGCATGCTATAGAAAACTACCACTGATCAGTTGAACTACATACCTTTCTGCAACAGCTCAACAGTGACCTCTTCAAATGGCTTTAAGAGGGTGCATATCTCCTGCAATGTAGTCCATTCTTCTGGAGATAAAGGGTGGCCAGGTGCATTGGTGACGGCCATGGTGGAGACAATGGGGTTGTTGTTGGTGAGGAAACTCTGCAACATGCAATATGTTGAGTTCCATCTTGTGCTACAGTCCTGTTTGGGTCATAGTTCCTCCATCTTCATATGGAGCCGTGTTTCCTTCAGGTTTTGTGCTCCCACTGTGCTTCTATAAAAGTATTCCACTGCCTCCTTAACTTTATTAATGATGGGTTGTGGACCTTTGAGGTACCACAAGATGTATGGTGTGTGCCAGGCACGGGAGGTGGGTCCATGCTGTTATCTGACTGGCCTTTGTGATGTTTGCAGCATTGTCTGTTAAGCAGCACACCACTTTCTTATCAACCTCCCACTCTGCTGCAACACTGAGGAGCGTCTTTGCCAAGTTGTCTGCTGTGTGCCCCTCATTAAATTCAAAGCAGTCCAGGAGGCAGGAGGACATGTGAAAATCTTCAATGAAGTAGCATGTTACAGACATGAATGAGGTTGTAGCCCTTGATGTCCAACAGTCAGTTGTTAGGCAAACTGCTGACACTTTGGACACCCTTCTCCTGAGTGATACTGCTTCTCTTTCATACATGTCTGACACTTTCTGGGTCAGTACGCTCCGACATGTAGGAATGTAGGTGTGATGATTTAAACCGGTAATGACCCAAATGCAGGCTCAGACGACATTAAGTGAGAAACAAGGATTTATTTTACTGTGGGAGACAAAGGGGAAGGAGAGAGTACGATAATGAGATGGAGGAGGTACAGAGTGTAGGTTGTCCGGATCTGGCTGGTGGAGAGCAGGCAAGCAGGTAGCAGGAGGTGGACCTGAGCACAAGAAGATCGGTCATTAAAGATCATTTCATTCATCAACAGGAATCACAAAGAACAATAGTTAAAGTTAGTGATGGGACGAGCGACACTGGTGCATCAGCACTGTGCCGAGAGCTCAAGAGGGAAACCTTGTATCGGTGCGTGTATTGCTTTAAGAAAGAATCACGTGACCGATACAGGAACTGTATCGTTTGGATGTGCCGCGCCAAAGTGTGTTTATCAGGAAACAAACTGTATCAACATGTCGTGGGTTTGTCGGATGGAGTTTTGCTTGATCATGGATCGTTCTAGGAAGTTTTCCCCGGTGTGGAATAATTTTGATCTCGTGACGCCAAACAAGGTAAATCTTTTTCTCCTTTATATACTATTTTTCCTTTATTAGGTTTTATTGCCTTTTTGATTTAAATGCTTAGAATTCCAATTTGATTAAATGTTTTTATATCCAGATTTTTCCATTATTAGGTTTTATTGCCTTTTTGGTTTTAAATGCTTAGTATTCAAATTTGATTAATTGTTTTTGTATGCAGATTTTTCCATAATTAGGTTTTGTTACCTTTTTGGTTTAAATGGGTTAGGATTATTTTTCCATCATTATAGGTTTTGTTGCCTTTTTGGTTTTCCTCTCTAATTGGATTGAATTTAATTTCAGATAATCTACCAGTGAACTGATCCAGTTTCGAGGTAAGTATAATTATTTTTCTTCATTCCACCACATTGGTCCATCCGGGTTGTATGTAGGTCTTTTGGTTCTTTGTTCGTCTATGTCAATTAAGCTCAAACAGCCCTTTTCTTATATAATAAAATGAATTTTAAATGAAAATACTTTAAAATAGAACTAAGGCGAGCTTGATAAAGTACATAAAAGAAAAATTATAAAATTAAAATGAAAAATACAAAAAAACTCTGAAAAAATAATAAAACTAACTACAAAACAAATGTTGGGGTGGGGGTAGGGTTAGGGTTAGGGCCAGAATTAGGGTTAGGGTTAGGGTTAGGGTTAGGGTTAGGG